TCCAATAAAAGTACTTGTATCCTGCACTAAAATGAGGCAAAATTAGCCCTTGCACAGGCTTCCGCAGAACATCCACACAGTTGAATGCTAAAATTATCGGAGTTCAAATTATTGTCATTAGATGTAGTCTTTATTCTAACAAAGAGCAAGCAAGCAGCATAGGGCTTTGCGTTTGTTTTGCTTTGCTTTTGGACTGCACTCTTTCAGGCACACTGGAGGCCTGGCCATCATGCAGGGATGTTCCTGTGTAAGGACCTCATCCCCTTACGTCCCACTCCTTTCCTTCTGTGAAATGCAAAAACTATAAATGCACCTCCAAATTTATGGATTTCAAGTCACTACACTAAAAACTATGGGATGGAGAAAATATGACTCTTGAGGGTTTTTCTTCTCTCACGCCACTTATGGCCAGAATCATGATTACTAAGATGTTTTTAATAGCTCTCTAGTCTGCTCTAGTTTTTCCACAGGGTAAAAATGTACTCTTTGAAGTAAAAGTATTCACCTATCTGATATAAATAAAACCTTTCACACAGAAAAATGTCTCTCCAAACAGAAGAGTTAATGCACCCCAAATATGTGAGAAATTTGCTTCCAAATGTGCAACATTTAGTCAAAGTTCCATCTTACTTTGGCATTATAAAATTTTCGGGAAACATTAGTAAAATCAAACATGTCACTTTGTAAGTCAGTGCCAGCAACCAACTCATTCTCACGGCTACAATAACGACTGAGATCATATTCACACAATCTTTTCTTAAAAGACAGGCTCTCAGTCAGTGCAACTGGTCTCTCCCCATAGCCATCTTTGGCTTCTACAAATCTTGCAACTTGCCCGAGATGGCAAACAGTTTCTTGCTGACAAAAAGCTGCGCTGCTCCCTAACTTAGGTATCAGGAAGATGTCAGCATAAACTTTTCCCCAGTGCAGCCTTAGGCCATAAACTTCCTGCACAAATCTAGGATCACCATGAACTCCAATGGCTCCCCACTGCCTGCATGACCCCAAACCTGCCTGTGTCTGCTTCCCTCCATGCAGTGTTCCTGTATTGCCCAATCAGCCTGTGGACAAGCTGTTCCTGCTCCCCACAGTTGTCCTTCCCTGTACACCTTCCCGTCATAGCCCCGCTTAGATGTGACTACTGAAGAGGCTCCCTCCCGTCACACTTTCAGAAGTTTATTTTTCTTCCTTGTTTTCTTTTTTAAAAAATTTATTTGAAAGAGAGAGAGAAAGAGAGAGACCTTGACGGTTCACTCCCCAAATATCTGCAACAACAGGGACTGCATGAGGCTGAAGCCAGGAGCCAGGATCTCCAACTGGATCCCATGCAGGTGACAGAAACCCAAGGACTTGAGCCATCTGAGCCATTATCTGCTGCCTCCTAAGCACAACAGAAGGAAGCTGGATTGGAAGTGGCTTGATCCCAGAGACTGATACGGGGATATGGGATGCAGCTGTTCCAAGAGGCAGCTTAACCTATTGTGCCATGTTGCCTGCTCTCTCTTTCCTGTTTTCCTTACTGCTGTCACAACACTAATGGCATGGTCACTAGCGCCTCAAAGGCAACGTCACGTTGACTGAGGATGAGGAGCTGGTCAACAGAATTTGGATTCTATCACTTAGTAGCTGTGCAACCTTGGATGAATCGCCTTAACCTCATGAGCCCCCTGCCTCCCCAGTCCCCTCACCCATAAATCACAGTGGTGCATACTTTCCAGGCTTGCTGGGAAGAATGACTGTTCCCAGTACAGCACCTGTCCCCGTGACGAGGACTTGACATCCAAGCGTTAGTACTACAGGATGAAGGAAAAGACCCAAGATAACAGATACACGCATCATGCTTTTGCAATTTGAGGAGTTAGTTCTCCAGTTAGGATCTGAAAGTACAGCCATGTTGACATCAGTGGTGATTTCTTCTTCTTCTTCTTCTTTTTTTTTTTGACAGGCAGAGTTAGACAGTGAAAGAGACAGAGAGAAAGGTCTTCCTTCCGTTGGTTCACCCCCCCAAATGGTTGCTACGGCCTGTGTGCTGCGCTGATCTGGAGCCAGGAGCCAGATGCTTCCTCCTGGTCTCCCATGTGGGTGCAGGGGCCCAAGCACTTGGGCCATCCTCCACTGCACTCCCGGGCCACAGCAGAGAGCTGGACTGGAAGAGCAGCAATCGGGACAGAACTGGCGCCCCGACTGGGACTAGAACCCGCGGTGCCAGTGCCGCAGGCGGAGGATTAGCCACGCTCCGTCCCAAGAGCAGATGGGGGCTGTTTTGCGGGCAGTTTGCCTCATTCACTGCTATGTGAAAATGGACATTGCACCAAGTGAGGATGGCAGGCAACACGGAGCAGGGGGGATGTCAGAATTCCTCCGCTGAGACAGGAGGCAGCCTGTGGATTTCAGGAGCTACCTGTTGCAAAAGACACCTGCCCAACCAGTGTCAGCTCCGACCAGTAGACTCCAGAATGGGGAGCCCACTTTATTTCAAACCTGGCTCCATTACTTTTTGGTTGAAATGTGAAATAGGGAAGAAAGGAAAAAAAAAGTGTTACAAATTCAGTTTTCTTACAGAAGTGAGTATAAAAAAAGAAATCAAAACAACCGGCACATGACCACTTTGTCTGAAATAAAAGAAGAGACTGGAAGTTTTTCAAAATGCCCTTTGAAGGGACTCCTCGGCTGGGAGCAGTATTTGAATTTTATTTCTTAAACGAATGTAACTATTCCCACGTGCATCTGTCTCAGACCAGAACACTCCCTGGGTGCTTTTTTCCTGGCCAACTTGAAGAGAAAATTCAGTTACCACTGCAAGCTGTTAAGCAAATCAAAAGCAAACTGAGGGGCAACAAATTAAAGGAGAGATCTTTTGCTCTCTGGGCGTGATGTGTGTCCTAACAGTGAAGAGAAAAAGACCGCCTTTGCGTCCACAGAAGAGACATTTAGAAGACGCCTCCAAGTGGTTTTTAATGCTCCTTTGTTCAGCGGGGCTGCGTAAGCATCTCCTCCAGCCGCCAGGAAAGGTAGCAATTTCTCTCCAGGAACCCGCAGGGATGAGCTGGAGCGCTCCCCGCCGAGGCAGACCCGAGGGGGTGGGGTGGGGTGGGCGGGCCGTGAGAGAGTGGGAGGAGAGGGGGCCGCTCCCGACCTGCCACTCAAGGCTGGGAGTGCAGCGGCTGCACCCGGCGGTGCACGTGCCAGGCTCAGGCGCGCGCGGCTCCCACAGGTGACCGTGGCCTGGCTCGGCCCCAGACTGGCCGTGTGCTGCCCCGCCCGCGAACGCGAGTGAGCCCACCGCCACCCCCTCCCCGGGGATGGCGCCTGGTGGCACGTAGTGATGGCGCAGAGGAGTGCCGCTCTTCTCGCTGTCACTAAGTCGTGTTTCAGACGAGAAAAAGCCAGAAGGGAGAGTTTCGGCGGTTCAGTACTCACGGCCAGAGGCCCCGCGAGCTGTGGCAGCCATGCGGTACCACTTAGCTTCGCGGGTAATGAATGAAAAGTTCGGACGACAAAACTTAGGATGTGCTGTATTGTACACCCCCCCCACCCCCGTTCTTCTGAACTGTGAACAATTTGCTGGAATTTCATTCGGGGTAAAAAGTGAACTTTATAATTTCATATTTAAACTTCCTAAGTCGACAGCAAGCTCAGTGAATAAAAGCCCCCCCCCCCTTTTTAGTGCTTCCATTATCCAAATCTTCAGCATAAGGACCCCCCCCCCCCAACACACAATTTATCTAAAGCTATGGGCAGCCCAAGAGCCCTCTTCTCCCTCCCTAGGAATTCAGTGCCATTGTAGCAGACAGACATTCTTTCCTCCTTTTCACTTAAAGAAACATACCAAGCTTGAATGGATTCCAGGCAAGGCAAGGGAGGGGGTGATTTTTATTAGTTCTAACATGGCTATTGACAAATGCTTTAAGACATTATTTTAAAAAAGAAAGGAAAGAAAGGGCTTTCACTTTATGCCTTAGAGGGTAGATGGGTTACAATTTAATTTCTAAGAGAAAAAATTTATAGAATAAAGTGACCTAACAATTCTCTTTCTTCTTCATGCATATGAGAAATATAAGCTAAGAGGACATCTGGAAAGGAGCGGTATTCAGCAATCAGAAAGCAAAAATCCAAACCATTGATGTCTGAGGGAGACAAACATAACTAGCTTCACAAAGAGGAAAGCTGTAACCTATTGAAGTTTTTTTTTTTTTTTTAATTCCATATGCATTTTACCTTTTGGGCAGTTCCAAAGCAAAGTTCTATTTCAGAAGCCTTTGTAATGTGAAACCCACTGTAGATAAGATACAACCTGAAGATAGTCTTGTTTGCAGCAGCAGGAAATCAAATTGGTTCCAGAAATGAAGTTATATGACAAATGGTTTAATAGTATTGTGAGATTTGGAAAGCTTGACTGGATTGGTTTTCATGATCAATTTTTAAGAAGATTTTGAAATTACTTTGTATGGCAGTATGGGGGGGGGTTAAAGTTGGGAGGCAGCTCATTTTATTGGCCTTTTAACTGAAGTGTTATAATTTATTGGCAAAATTTAAAAGCTCAGTGGTGATTTGTTAATTTTTGTTTGCCACAAAAATTTTCAGACACAGTACTTAGCACCGTGAATTTACACTGTGGAAGATTAAACATGTTAACAAATATAGATGTATTTTATGATCATTTCTAGGTTATTTTTAGTCAGCTTTGCGTTATTTAAAAAGCATCTGGGAAAGTTACTGATGACTTCGGCAGGTCTTAGATTTTAGAAGAGACTTCTAAACAGCTAGACACATCACTGACAAAGCAACCCGGCGCCTAGTGCCTGTAGGTGAGATGCAATCACTCTTCTGACTGAAGTCAGGAACAAGTTAAATATCACTTAGACCACAGCGCAGGACTACAGAGGTTTAGGAGAAATCGGACTTAAATAGAATGTGACTAGACGTTGAAGACTATTTTCTAAAAAAGTAAAAAAGAAAAAAAAACACAAAACCCCACCCTCTCCCCCTCCAGTACTTACAGTCTTTGAAGACCAGAGCCGGGTCTCTGTGAGGCAAGGCTTGGGCAATGATGTGTCTCAGAGATTCCAGGGTTCTGTCCATCTCGGGTCTGCCTGTGCGCGCCTCCTGCACAGGGTGTCCTCATGCCTGGATTCTTGCAGTCCTGGACTGAATCTGTGCAGCTCATTGATGCACTGGATTACCAAAGAATCCCTTTTAACATCTGCCAATCAGACATTTCCCAGAAAGTGAGGACCCCTCAGGGGGCCCTCCTCCCAGGCTCACTTATCTTTGTTGTGTGCTGAGCTAATTAGCTCGAAGGGCTGGCTGACAGGCCGGTTCCCTTGCCGCCTCCTGTTCAACACACCCACCTACAGGCTAGCAGGAGAAGCTCGCTCAGCCTGCTTTGCTCTGCAGCCAGATTTTGCCTTAATGCTGTGCGGCTTTCTCTCTGGGAAACCTCTTTCGGCCCTCGATCGTCCACTGTGCTGCCCCCAGGACAAGGGAATCAAGAAACTCATTTCTCCAGGGAATTTCCTAAATGCCAGAGGAACGGTAGGGGTACACTGTAGATCCCCTTCAGTAAAGGAATGAGGGTGCCCCATTATGCTTCACATTAGAGTTCAGGAACAGCTCTTCTGGAAGCCACGGGTGAGCTCCCACCCCTCTTCCCCACATTACAGTCGCTTCTGATGAACTCTGGCAAGCACGACCTGCGAGACTGTCTCACAGCCTGCCTGGGAACACTTGTTTCCCTGTTTTGCCCTTCAAAGCAAATCATCTCCAAGGTTGACTTTAATTAATTCTGATATCATTCACTTCCTTTTACTTCATGATAATTCTTTCTAAAAATTTCAGTAGAAGCAAAAAAAAAAATCTACTTTTCCAAAGATTATAAGTAGCTATTAAAAGATCTTAAGAAAACAGAGCTGCTTTTTCTACCAGTGTTGGCCACCACCCATTACGATTTGCTAAATGCTCTTCCTACAGGAGACACAAATAGAAGTCACATGATTGCACTGCAATAAAAGCTACAGCAAATACAAAATAACTCATTTTAAAGGCTGTAACCTGTGGTAGTTGTTGGAGGGTTGTTGAGGAATTCTTTATTTAAATTTTTTTCCCAGGGTAGACATAAGAAATTGCTTTCCAACTTTCAGATTCCATAATTATGCTGTGTTTTATGAAGAACTGAAACCAATCCTTTAAATAAAGACTATATAAAAATGTCTTCCATGTGATCAGTTTCTTCAGCTATTTGGTAGAAGTCTGGGCCTAATAAAAAGAAGGTGGAAGAATGGGGCTATCATGATTTTCACATAGCAAATGCTCATAGGGAATGTATGTCACACAAAATACACAAGCATGGGGCTGCCCCAGACCACAAAGACATCTATCTATCTGTTGATCGATTGATGGATGTATCTGTCCATCCATCCATCCATCCATCCATCATCATTATCATCTATCTATAAATGGATATAATCTAGAAAGAACTGGAAAGAAGTAGCACTTCATGCTGAGATACTTGCTTAGGGTTCCACAGTGCACTCTACATGGGCTGTACCAAAAGTGAACATGGTCAAGATCCTTGCCATCCAGGAGTTTATAATTTAAAATGCAAACTATGGTTTGTAGACAAAAACTCTAATTCTTGGACACAAAATATGAGTGAATGTAAATACTTTCAGTGTGATACTGAATTGGAAACCAATATATTTAATGTTTTTGTTAAAGAAGCAGGAGAAATGGCCGGTGGCGCCGTGGCTCACTAGGCTAATCCTCCACCTGGGGTGCCGGCACCCTGGGTTCTAGTTCTGGTTGGGGCACCGGATTCTGTCCCAGTTGCTCCTCTTCCAGTCCAGCTCTCTGCTGTGGCCCAGGAAGGCAGTGGAGGATGGCCCAAGTGCTTGGGCCCTGCACCCACATGGGAGACCAGGAGGAAGCACCTGGCTCCCGGCTTCAGATCAGCGCAGCGCACCGGCTGCAGTGGCCATTTGGGGGATGAACCAACGGAAGGAAGACCTTTCTCTCTGTCTCTCTCTCTCTCATTGTCTAACTCTGCCTGTCAAACAAACAAACAAACAAACAAAAAGCAGGAGAAATAATATTGACTTTGCAAAGCAGTAAGACTGAGAATATAAAAACAGCAACATTAGAAATGAATGATGCTTGGAATTCAATCAGTAAATGGGCATTTCTATGGGTGTAAGTTTAATTCCAGCAGTACTTAAAAATATTTTAGCGGCTGGCATAATGGATTAAGCTACTACCTGAGATGCTGGCATCCCATATATGTGCAGTTCAAGTCCCGGTTGCTCTACTTCCAATCCATCTCTTTGCTAACGTGCCTGGGAAAAGCAGCAGCAGCTGGTCCAAATACTTGGAGCACTGCACCCACATAGGAGACCCAGAAGGAATTCCAGGCTTCTGGCTTTGACCTGGTCCAGCCCCAGCCACTGGCAGCCACTGGAGGAGTGAACCAGCAGATGGAAGATCTCTGTCTCTCTCTGAAACTTTGTCTTTCAAATAAATAAAAATCTTTAAAATATATGTATACATTTATTATGTTATATATATATTTACATAATACATATTTATATACATTATATATATGTTGTACAATGTGGTGGGAGGAACACTGAATTTAGGATCAATAAGACCTAGGATTTGAATTTTGTTATCTGTATAACCTTGAGGAAGAAGCCACTTATATTCTCTGGGCTCACAGTCCTCATCCACCAATTTATTAAGTTAAGCTGGATGCGCTCATTCAGTTCTAATATCTATGGTTCCATGACTATATCATAAATGGACACAAATATTAGAACAGATTGTCTAGTCTTCTGGAAAGCCCTATAATTATTTCCTCAAGGCTGGACTGGTCTTGACAAATCACTTCTATTTCAACCTCATATCCATTCATTGATCTGAAAGATACAAATCAATATGATCAACTCAAAGATACTCCCTGCTAAAGCTAACTGCAAGGAAAGGTAAGACTTTCTTAAAGCTAATCTCCAACTTCCATAACATTTTTTTAAAAAGATTTATTTATTTGCAAGTCAGAGTTACATAGGGAGAGAAGGAGAGGCAGAGAGAGAGAGAGAGAGAGAGAGAGAGAGAGAGGTCTTCCATCCGCTGGTTCACTCCCGAAATGGCTACAATGGCTGGAGCTAGGCTGATCTGAAGCTAGGAGCCAGGAGCTTCTTCCAGGTCTCCCACGTGGGTGCAGGGGCCCAAGGACTTGGGCCATCTTCTGCTGCTTTCCCAGGCCACAGCAGAGAGCTGGATTGGAAGTGGAGCAGCTAGGAGATGAACTGGTGCCCAAATGGGTTGCTGGCACCGCAGGCGGCGGCTTTACCCACTATGCCACAGTGCCAGCCCCAAGATTTTTTTTAAAGAAGGCAAAACTGTAGGCATTTTCATAGAGAACCTAAGTCTACATAAATATCATGATCCTTAATGAGTTAGGTTTTGTGAGGTAAAAAAGGAATTTTTAAAAAAGATTTATTTATTTGAGAGGCAGAGTTACAGACAGAGAGAGGGAAAGGCAGAGAGAGAGGTCTTCTGTCCGCTCGTTGTCTCCCCAAGCTGCTGGAGCTGAGCCGATCTGAAGCCTGGAGTCAGGAGGCCAGGAGCCAGGAGCCTCCTCCAGGTCTCCCAGGTGTGTGCTGGGGTCCAAGCACTTGGTCCATCCTCCGCTGTCCACCCAGACCATTAGCAGGGAGTTGGATCAGAAGCAGAGCAACCGGGACTTTAACTGGCACCCATATAGGATGCCAGCGACACAGGCGGAGGCCTAACCCACCATGCCACACACAGCGCAGACCCCATAAAAAATGAATTCTAAGATAGGTAGATCATACAACATTCCAGTTAGATAGTATAGTTTCTTCTGTAAGCCAAATCTTATGGCAGAAATTGTCTTACACTTTTCTTCTTGAATGCCTAAAAGACTTCTTACCTTAAAGTGCTGTCACTCACTCTCTCCTTGCCACCCCCACTCAGCCATAGCACCCCCACCCACCATGGCTTTCCCATCTCCCTCTGCACCCTTGAGAAGAATCCCATTATGACATTCTTCTCAGTCGCCCAACTTGTGTGTGCAGGGAATACAAGAACTCTCTTAGTGGACCATCCTGTCTAGCCCCTCCTTTCACATTTCTGCCCTTTTAACTTTAGCTTTCAGACAGCTCTGCCATAGCCACAGGCTTGGCTGGCTTCCTTCAAGCCACACATTATTCCCTAAAGTGAACTACACCATATTTCTTAAAAAAAAAAAAAAAAAAAAAAAGGCAGTCTAGAGAAACAGGTGGGTGGTCTCTTAGGTTCTCTTTTTTTAGTGGTAAGAAACTCCTGATGGAGATGGAAGAGGCTGAGAAACCCTCAGTAGTGTGTCTATTTTTGTACAGATTCTCAGATTCAATGTTAGATTTCATTGTCTTTAATGAGACTTCAACCATCTATAGCATATACCAAAAAGTGTTGAAGCAAGGGGAGATGACCAGAGTAAGAACTAAAATGACATTACACAATCCATTAGAGTACTAATAGGAGGGTAAGAAATGGCATCCAACTGACATCTTTGACAATGGAAAAGTACCACCCAATGACAGAAGGAGAAGGCTCGGTTCGGCAAGTTACCGAGCTTCCAGGGAGTACAGAGCACTTGGAGACGGGAAGTCAATGTGCAGCATTTCATGCACGATGCAACAAAAAAGTCTCTGGAAACAATAATTTCGCTAGTAAGGAAAATTCATTCCTGTTATTCCAGTAATATGTTTGTTGTTAAATAATTCATTGCAGCTATAAAAATAATAAGGTGGGGGTCATTGATTAAAATAACATCCAGATTATAAGAAAACATAATAAATGTTTAGTTCAAAACGGGAACCCCCCTCTTCATGCCACAATGCATGTTGCTCTGAAGGAAGAGACTGGGGCTGGCCAGGCAGGAGAGTGGGCCTGCAGGGGAGGCTGATGGGACTCCATGTCCCAGGTCCCAGAAGACTTCAGCTCAAGCCATGAAGGCACAATAAAAAGGCTGCAGTCACTGAGCCGGGCCGACTTACACTCCTCATCCCTAGGGAATCCACCCACTGAGAGAGGGAAAGGGGCTTGATGGAGATTCAGGAAGATTACCTTCCCCCAAATAATTTCTGCACTTGATTCTTAAAAATTTGCAATTTAAAACAGATACATCGAAAAAAGAATTGAAGTCATGCAGTTGAATACATTAGGATAGAGAGTACATCACTTGAAAAATCAGTAGGAAGTGACTGACAGCCGTTGTTTTGATTCCAGTGGGAGATGGCGGAGGGATCTGGAAGGGTTTACATGTGGAACTGGCGAGAGGGTCAAAGCTGATCTCGAGAGTTTCTGAGGATGTGTGAGAAGGAGAGCAGGGGCAGGGAAGGAGCTGGCCTTACAGAGGTAATGACTAATGACCGTGTAGTATCTGCTGTGTTTAGCCTCCACTAGGAAGAGACCAGTAGGTGGCATAGATGGCTGCTCAGTGTTAATTTCTTTCTTTTCAACTGGTTGGGGCCAATGAAATGTTTGAGTCCAGGTACTTCTGGGAAGGTCAGTTAGAAAGGCAACTTCAGATGGCTTCTAGATAAAAGTTTAAAAACATTTGTGTT